TAGTGAACGAGCTATATATCAAAGTTAAATAGTAGTGGGATTATTGTTAGTTTTAGCTCGGGAAGTGTTTACAGATAAAGCGACTTACCGGAGTCTTTAGACCCGCTAAAACGTAATATTTCATTAAAATTCTAATCTTCTTACTGATGCTGTCAGTCTACTAACTTCAGAAAGGTAATAGACCAAAAATTGAATTTTATAAACTGTTTGGAGTAGGAACATGCAACATGCACATGGGGTTTTAATGTCTGTCGTGCGATTTTGATTTTGCCTCTTTTATTGGGCTACTTAAGACCAAGTTGTTTACCGAATTTGAGGTGCAAACTTGAACTTGATAAACTTGACTTAAAGTGGAATTTTAATATATTATTTAGCTAAAAACGACTGCCTGAAGAGCGATATTACACCAGTACATTTTCATGTCGGCGCGATATATTGCGAGAACAAATTAAAGTTAGAAATGCGAATATGTTAGGATAAAACACTGATTTCACAAAAAGTTAGCCAAAACGCGTTCTGTCCACCAGAAAACTGCCAATGTTCGATTAATGGCTTTTAGGTCGTGTAGACCAGAGCACGTGCAGGAGATTTGGCAATTGCCTGCCAAGTTATTGAATAAATCGCTTATTTGCTGTTCCAACTCAGCCTGGACGCATCCTGGTTTTCATCCTATCTCTTGAAAACTTCTCCTTGCATTAGTTACTACTTTATTGCTTTTTGTCGAGATCTTTTCGAATGAGCACATTTCAAAGTTGCAGAAACAATTCAACTTGGGTGCATTCAGATATTAATTTTCAGGTTAATGTTTACACAAAAACAATTTTATTGAATCTACTTGTAACACAGATGATTGCAAGAGTAGGTTACACTGTTAAAATAGTTGAATAACACCGAGAAAATCTAAATTTAAACAATTGATTTCGGCTTTATGGATTATTTTACTCCGAGAAAAATTACTTTTTATTTACGGAAGAGAAAATTCTACGATAAAACCCATGGGATCTACTTACGCACTATCTTATAAGTTGTTTAAAATGTTGTCTATTTTTCTGTAAACAATAATAAAGTCTATTTTCGAACCCTCCCTAACATTGCTAAGATATTCCCGGATAGATCGATTGGTAGAAGGGGACCAATTGAATTGCCTCCAAGATCACCGGATTGAACGCCCTTAGACTTGTTTCTTTGGGGACATCTTAACTCCATTGTTTATAAAACACAACCTGCTGATATGGATGATCTTAAAAGGCAAATTGCAGCAGAATGCCGGTCACTTTCCGATAAAGTGTTCCGAAAAGTTAGGGACGAGTTTGGAAACAGACTATATTATTGTTTACAGCAAACTGGACATCATTTTGGACAATTTAATAATATAGTGCGTAAACAGATGACCTGTTTTATTGTAGAAATTTGTAAACAAAAGTCATTTTTGTCGATGGAAAATAATCAATAAATAAGAAATAACATCATATCAAAAATAACAAATCAATGTTTAAACTAGATTTCCTTCCTTAGATTATCTGTATTACAAGAAGACCCAATACAATTTTTTTGTGCAAACACTAACCTGAAGACATAAATTTCACACTTAATAATAATATAATCAACATAATATAATAAAATAATCAAAATAATTTGCGAATACTTGTTTCAGGTGCTATCAGAAACATATGTATTAAATCTTTTTGCTGTTTCACCTAGAACTGATTTCGTATGGAGTAAAGATTATTGCTTTTACAATACAAGAAAGTTCGTTTGAAAGTGAGACGCGAAACACATGAATTATGATGATTTGAGAATGGCAGTAACGACTTCGTAACTATTTAAAAACTTCACTTTCTGTGAGCGCAAAAAGATCCAGAACCCCTTCTGTTCTATTTCAAATAGCCTGAAGGCAAAATTTTCAGTAGGTAATAAAAATGGGGTAGTAACCCGAGCACGTTTTGGACAATCTTTTCCACATTTGTCGGAAATAAGTGTTTCAGTTGCAACAAATTCATCAGTTATCGCCTTATACAAACCTGAAGGAAAACTTACCTCAGGCTCCCAACTGGAGGTGTTGCATATGGAACTCCCAGAAACGCCTCCACTGGTGGGTGTATAAGAATCATGACTCCCCGTAATGCACCGTACTTAGTCTTAACCACACGAGTACTATATTTGTGCACCAAAAGAGAAGATCCTGCTCCACTACACGAAATCAAGAACGCGACCTAAAACAAAAAAAAATATCAGTTTTCTATCAGTCCCAGAACAGTTTTTTATAGTCAACAGATCTTAATCATTCAGTTTTCTGATCAAACTTTCATTTTTCAATTTCAAAACTTATGCATGAAAACTGTGGCAAGAGTGGAGGCTAAATATCTACTTATAAACTTATAACCCATCAAATTAGACACTCACTCAAGATTTATTGACAAAATTAGGCTTCATAAAAGGGTGGCTCAAAATTACGTTATTTAATTTTAACTGAATAGTTTGCTTAAGCATAGTTATCGCAGTGTATTTTTAAGATGCTGAGTGCACGCCATTGAGATATTTTTAAGCGCAACAACATATATACGAATTTACTTTTCCATACTGTTTTAATAAGGTTTTACTTGAATGCATGTTAATTACGAGAGTTTTTAGTTTTGTTCGCATTTTTTGTTTAATTAATGCTGTTTTATTGTCCTTTTTCAAGTTTTTCTTCCACCACTCTTACGTTCGTAATCCAAAAAAAGTAAGAAATTCAATAACGAGTTTAAATCATTAGTAATAAACATTCACTAGTGCTCCACCAAAAGTATTGGGCAAATAAAAGTGAGCATGAAAGTAGCGAAAGGTAGGCACTGCATGTTCTCGGAATCGTTTGGTGTTACTAATGGTGCTAGGTCTCCCTAATCTTGCACTATTTTGTGAAATGTGACATAAATATCTAATGAAGGTAAATCGGTGTAGCGATCCAATGGAGATAAAGAGTGCAGAATACTCAGATCAGCCCAGTGTCCAAACTGAAATAACTGCGGATTTAAAATATCCTAAACACTTTCAGTTAGATTGCATGTCAACCGTTAACTATGCTATACAAACATTCTTCATAGCCCAACAAAAGTTATGCTCTCCTCTGGAGAGGAAGTCGTTCATGTCATCTCAATGCAAACTTTTTCGATATATGTACTTCCAGAATATAGCCCATACTAACATACAAGTGTTTCCCGTTGGGTGTTGGGTCACTGACAATACGTGGCAACATACGATCAATTATCTCCGGCGGATGCGGTAGATATTAATTTCTGGCTGGCTGACAAACGCAAAATCTTCAACAAACCGTGTCTGACTGAACAGAAAAGTCGTACAGTCAGACTATGCATGACTTGACTCGCTAACAGTTGATTAGCTACTGATGTGTAAAGTAAGTAATTAAGTCTTAAGTTCGAGGTTTTTGGCATTACGTTAGAAAGAGATTCTTTTCGATTAGAAAGCTCCTAAAAATATTTCCATACCGCCACTTATGATACCATTTTTCTCTCTCATACCGTTTTTGTGCGAAAGTCAGGCTGGATAATTTATGCAGAATGATGAATGGAACACGCCGCAACAGCCTCAACAAGGTTTGCAACCGTTGCGATCGGCAGATCAGCCTTATGTGTATTTGTTGATATTGTTCTGTTTGTAATACTATTTACTATTTTGTAACGTAACAATAAATGTTTTATCTATCTGTCTACTCCTTTCCATTTCAAGATTATTGAACCCCGCCAGACCGTGACAAATACTACTTTAATAAAATGTCCCTTTTACAATCATTTCTCTAGAATCGTCGGTCTGAATATTTGTCAACTTCCTCCGGACAAATCATGCGGAAAGTGTTTTTACGACATTACTGTGTTTTGCTAGTAATATGGCTGTATTCAGAGAGAAGACAAAGTGATTTATTTAATTTTTTAATAGATTATTGTTAGTATATTAGAACATGTACGTTTCTTGCCGCTTGGAATCCGAATAATTTCCTAAATAAAGCTAGGTGAAAAAAAGTTTATTTAAGCATTCAATAAATTAATCACGCTCTAAAATAATTGATGTTTTTTATGATCACAATCAAACCAATCATAAATCTAGTTAACATGTGTTATATGTGGCCCAGTCTGCCAACTCAGAGCATTTAAAGTATTCCCGAAATCCGAAATTAATTCCTGTGATGCAAAGAGTTAGTTCACTGTGTTATCTAAATTTCGGATAGTTTGATTTGAAAACGCTTCGAAATATGCCAAGACGTCAATATCAATCTTTCAGTTTGAATTATACCCTTTATTTGTATCTTTTTTAGAAATCGGCCAATTCATCTTGTCGAAACTTCTGCTAAAGTTTTAAAAAATATTGTCGGTCGGAAGTTCCCTATCCGGAAACAATGCGTGACATCTGTTTTTCTACCAACGTTTCAGCTATTTGAAATAGCTCAAAAACGTGTTATCGAATCGAAAAGTTTCCTAATTTTCAGAGGAGATCCAAGAAAGCAGAAAGTCGCAAAAGATAATCCTGACCGTTTATCTGTTTTTTTTTCTTAAAAAGTAAATCCAAATTAATCATAATATGAGTACTAATATTTGAACTAAAACAAATATTCAATGAAATTTGGATTTTAAGTTAAATTTTATTTATCACTCTCTATTAGATTTGCCTTCTAAGTTTACATTAACTTAATTATTAATAAAAGCATTGAGAAATAAGACTACGTTAGATAAAGCTCACTAGACAGAGTGATTCAAAATTGGCATCATTACTCCGGAGGTGTTGTCTGGCGCTGTTATAGGAGTACAGAAAAATTAGTAAAATAAATTAGTTGTTATTAAAAACAGAGAAATTTGCAAAAAACTATATCGGAAATACGGCAGCAACGTTTTTCAAGGTAATCTGTCTAATTAACATTGCGCAAATACCTGTTGCTTCGTAATTATTTAAAATTCCGGTAACCATGGATAAATACAGACTGACAATAAGATAGGCAAGGATAAACGGTAAGTTCAACAAGATTTGTTGACTGCGCAACGTACTTTCAAAATGTCAACGTGTTCTCATAACCTCGATTATTGGTGTTTAAAAATAAACCATACAACACCAAACATTTGAATGGTTAACAAGCTAGTGCCTGTGTAATCTCCTTATTATCCACTCTTATCAAGCAGCTTTTGGTATTCAATTAATTAACTCCTGCTCCATTTGTATTTCCTTGTGCTGTCTGTATCGTAAAAACGTGGTAGGAACGTAACCCTTCCTCGGCATTTATTTGATCCTTGGGAAAGTGTCGAGTATGTCCAATACTTGTTCCTCTGTGCCTGGAAGGCAAACATCGATTGTCGGCCACTATCGTCCTGGAACCACTCTCCTCGCCCTTTGTTGGCTTGAGTTCTTTCAGGTTCTGCTATGTTACTGTAGCATTTTCCCTGAACTAATCGCATATCCGCAAGTTCGTGAAAGGAAATTCAAAGTAAACAGACAGTCACAGTTTGACAAATTGTTTTTATTATTGACAAGGCCTATCCACCTGTAACTGTCTGTTAATGACAAAAAACATCATTGTGGCTGTGTCTTTCCATCAAAAAATTGTAGAAAAGAACTTTTTTGAAAATTTTCATAATTTGAAGCAAAGATCGTAATTTTTCTTTTTGAATGCTTAAGTATTCCAATATGCTACCAATTAAACATGGAACAATTTCAAAATAATGCTTAATAACAAAGGTAAAATGCGATTTTCAACTGTTAATATCTTCTAGAAATTTTCGAAAAAAAATTTTCAATATTTTTCTCGTACTCACCAAGGGAGCCTCCATCACCCCTTAAAAGGATTGACGCCAATTTTGAATCACTCTGTAGTTGAAAGATAAAATGATTGATTTAAAAAACTCATGCTTTAGTTTGTAATGTAATGTTGAAGGCTTACGAAACACCCTCTACTAAAATGCAAATTTAAATGCCATTTCATTAAAAAAAGATGTCGCTTTTTCCACCCTACTAATTTTTAACCCTCTAATTTTTAAAATAAAATGTTTAAACGTGAAGGTCCAAATTCAGTAGCTGCAACAATCG